ATTCTCCTCCGTGTGAACACAAAGAATGTATATGCCCCAGTCTTGTAACCACTTTCATTAGTATTTCTAACATTTTAAAGGTTCTATTTAACTTTCTTTAAAGGAAAGCCATCAGCATAAATGAGTACCCAGATTCCTTAAAAGAGCATAGAATGACATAGTCACTTACAGCTCTGACTTACCCGTCTTTGCATGTCAGTGACGTTTTGCTCGTACTGGTTGAAGTCATGCCTTTTTCCATGCGACTTTGTCTTGTGCCACTCTCGGATGCAGCTTTCCAGCTGAGCGTTAGCTGCTTCTAAGGAACGGACCTTGTCCAGATAGGCAGCCAAACGGTCATTCAGGTTTTGCATAGTTTGTTTCTCATTCCCACCCAGGAAGATGCTTTCCCCATGGTGCTCGCCGAAGCCTCCCCAGAGTGCCCCTCCTCCAGTCGCCAGCCAGAGGGGTCTGGCAGAGGAGAAGGAGGTATGTGTGCTGCTGGCACCACCGTCTGCACTTGAAGGTCTGTAAGAAGTTCCTTGCTGGGCCAAACCACACCCTGAACTACCCCTGAGGGACCCAGAAAAAAATTGAAACGGGCTTTGGCTGGTACTCATGTTTCGCTCTGTTATGAATCTAACCCAATGTTTGACTGGCTAGCACTGAGCAGCTTCTTAGCCTTCCCTAAGCAGCTTTATGCCTTTTCCTGTGGGAGTTTCCCTTCGATGAATGACTACAGCAACAAGATTGTGTCATCATGAAACGTGCTTCCTCTTGGTCAATTCTGAAGCATTTATGAGCCTGCACACACTGTTGTTATTTGGAATCGCAGCCACATACCGGACTGCTTTCCTTTTGGTTTGGGGTTTTTTTTTTTTCTTTTTCTTTTCATACTGTAATAATGAGGTGTGGCTAAGATCAGTAGGTGTGGAACAGGATCAGCTCTGCCTCAGACTTTTTTCTAACGCTGTAGTTAATATGTAATGTTTTCGTGCTGATGAGGGGGAAGAGTATCATCCATTACAGAATGAATGGAGAGCTGGGGCAGGCATGGCGCTCTCAAGATACTTTCTGTTGTAATTCTCAGGCTATAGAGTTACAGCAGTCTGTGAATCCTGAAACGCAGCATGTCCTATAAAGCTGTTTTTAACGTACCGAACAGCTTCACCCTGTATGAGACATGAGGCTTTAATGAAGTTGTCCAACCTCTGTCATTTGACTAAAACTCCAGTCCAAAGTGAGTAAGGCTCAGCTATTCTTTTCAGCTGCCCATTTCCAGTTGAAAGACATGAGAATTAGGTACTTGACAATCTTTTCTAGTGATTTTTTCATGACTCGAGGTGCAGTCATCTCAATAGTCTTGTTGAGATAGTAATGCAGGAATTTCTTGCTGCTAATAGTATTAATACTATGAAGATATTTCTATGTTTAGGTATAGAAAATACTTAGAATATGAGTTTGTAACAACACTTGAAAAATTCAAGTGATTATTTAAAGCTACCAGCCCTAAAAATTGACTTGGCAATCATGCAAAATTGTCTTTCTCAAAAGTTTCAGTAACCTTCTGTCGAACTTCTTCCATCAAATGCAGAACAGGCAAGTCTGGCTTCTGCAAAGATATTCTTCATGCTGAAAAGTAGGTGGCACATTGTGAAGCACTCCCATGGCAGCAGCCGGGTTCTTGGGTTTGCCGTGTCTTTCAGTAGCTCTAGGGCGCACCTGAGGGGTAGGATAGAAGATTTGGGAAGAGGTGGAAAGCTGCGTGGGCACGGGCTCTCAGAAACGGCGCAGCTCTTTTTCTTCACAGCAGTTGAAGGCTCAGCTCTTGGCACAAGATCTTACTTCGACTGTCACTGAGTGGTGGGGCCAGAGAGACTGTACAAACCAGAATTACACTATCCTGGAAGTAGCCTGAAGGAGTCTTTTTTGTTCTGTTTCATTTGAAATTTTCCAGTAATAAAGTATTGCTGCACTTCGTCCTTTCCTGGGATGCCTGCTAGGCCTCCTTTTCTGACTAGGGCGGGTTTTGAGCTCCTCCTTGTGGCTCTGTGGCAGCTCTGCTCAGCACACGTTGATTTTCTTTTTGCCAGTTATTTTTCCATTGAGTATATACTCCTCCTTATTCCCCATACACTTCATTGTATAGAAATGCTAACATTTTAAATTGTTTGGGGAGATTAATCATCGAAGATACGGTTTTCCAATAAGTAGGTCTATCACAAAATAGCCAGATAACAGCTACTATTAATAGTTACAGTTTGGTATCGGCCCTGCTTGCTTGAGAGTGAGATGAGCTTGAAGCACCAGCCAAAAAATTAAGGCCTAACTTGAAAAAAAACCCCAAATTATCATAGAACCAATGATATCCTGCTGTTCAGTTCATCTCACCAGAGATTAATTTCAGATTGAATTTTCTTTTTGTTCAGCAAGCTAATGTTCTATGAAATATTGCATTGAAATATAAATAAATGCATATGTACGTAATATTACATGAAATAAAATGAATCCTTTGTTTCATGTGAAATTGCTCAGTGAGGTTCACAGCTTGGCTGGCAGTGATGCTGACAGTTTGTGAGACAGCATGGCCTCTGTCTTTCTTCCTGATAGTTTCATGGAATATCATGCCATCATGAAAAACAGAATTGCATTTTTTCTGGCAAGTAATACAAAACAACGGTGATCTGGCACTTAGGAAGTGTTTCCTCTGAAGCTCAGCCTTTTCAAACTGGAAAAGATGCCACACAGTTTTCATGAACACATGTTGAGGATCCATGGAAAACACCAAAAAACTTACTTCAAACCTGGACACGGCTCTCCGTTGTCAGGCTGGCACTGTGGGACTTGGTTTTAGTCACCTGTTTAATCCGCAGAGTACAGAATGAAAGCAGCGATCATTGTCAGCAGATGGCACTCGGGGCCCGCTCTTCGCTCGGCACAGCCCGCCTCCTGAGCCGGGGAGCTGCCGGCAGGCCCAAGCTGGCGGGGGCCGAGGAATGCACGGCCCCGGGTTGCTTCATTTGGGAATCGGGCTTGTTTTACTGAACTGGAACGTGAAAAGCGAACGCAACTGAATTTATAGGTTGCCGTTTAAGTATAGGCAGAACATTTCGACACCTACATTGTACAGGGAAATACACTGTGACCATCACTTGTTGATTCAACTCCTCCACCTGAAGTACAAATGGATAGCTGCCTTTGGCTGTACCATGTCTCTCTCTTGCTGTCCGAGCGACACATGTAATAGTCACCTGATTTCTGGATCAGGAAAAAATGTCATTTGTACCGTTCGGTTTGTCTTTTCTGCCAGATTGCGACGTTGCTTTGCTGAAGTTTGCAAGCACGTCGTCTCAGTTCTTTCCAGTGAGAATACCAGCAGCAGGTACTGGTTTCTTAACAGTGGTATACCAATGACCCTGCAGCCTCCTTCACAGCTGAACTGTGGGGCTGGTGCCAGCAGTGTAGATTTTTTTTCCAATGTCAGAAAATAGAAGACAGAAAAATAGTGGCTCTAAGGAGGCTGGAAGAAAAATAAAATACATAATTCTGAAATGGCATCATTTTTGTAGATGCTATTATGTGGATTGAAATACCCAGGGAGGAGGCTAACAACAAATTTTCCAAACAGGTTATGTTAGCAAAATACAGCATTTAAGTAAATGTTTTATATGCTTCTGAAGTTGGGATTTACTAGCCTCTTAAATCTTTATAAGCCTCTCTCCTGAATTACACTAGTGTAGATTTGCAGACTAGCTTACTGCAGAGAAGAGACAGCATTGCTGGTACAACAGCTACAGCAATGACACAGGCTGGTGACTTTCTTCCTTAGGCATGAAAACCAAAACAGCCACAGCAAATCCTGCTTGAACAGTTCAGTTCACCTGGACCTTGCCTAGTGCTTCCTCAAGAGCTAAGGGTATTTGCTTTTTTGGTGAAGGAATCACAGAATCACTAAGGTTGGAAAGGACCTTCAAGATCATCAAGTCCAACCATTAATCCAGTGCCACCATGTCCCCTAAACCATGTCCTGAAGTGCCACATCCACACATTTTTTTAACACTTCCAGAGATGGTGACTCCACCACCTCCCTGGGCAGCCTGTTCCAATGCTTGACTATCCTCTCGGTGAAGACATTTTTCCTAATATCCAATCTAAACCTCCCCTGGCGCAACTTGAGGCCATTTCCTCTTGTCCTATCACTAGTTACGTGGGAGAAGAGACCAACACCCTCGTCGCCACAACCCCCTTTCAGGTAGTTGCAGAGAGCGTTAAGGTCTCCCCTCAGCCTCCTCTTCTCCAGACTAAACAACCCCAATTCCCTCAGCCGCTCCCCGTAAGACTTGTGCTCCAGACCCCTCACCAGCTTTGTGCAGGAACTTAAATATATATATATGGAAAAATACGCATTTTTTTCAGAGGTGCATTTTATTCATGCATGAATTGTAGTCATGTTGTGCACTTTGAATTCAGAACAAAGAGCTTAAGACTTGTTGGCATTATCTTCTCAGGTTTTAACCAATATTAGCTTCAGATTCCTGGGAGAATCTAATGGCACTTTCTTCCCTGGTGTTCATCATCATCTTTATTATTATTATTATTAAAGTTATTATTGTTATTGTTGCTGTTATCCACTGAACATCTCTTGGTTTGGGTTACAGGAGGCCTGTGTTAGGTCATGTGTGTGGTCTTGTGTGTGGCAATGCCATACTGATTTCAAAAAAACAACATTAGATGGGACGTATTTGCACAAGCAGAACAGAAACTTTATTATGTAGATTCTTTTGTAAGGAAACTATATAGCTACTGACAGAAAATAAGCTTGTCATCTCTGACCCATAGAGCCAAATGATCATGTAAAAAAGGAGAGCAAATTTAAGGAAGGACATCAAGCTGTTGCACATTCTTGGATTACATTCTTGTGATTTGGTGTAAGTAAAAGGATATTCCTCTTAGCATTAGCCAATGTGTAGGCTGCACTGGTTTTATATGGTGTCATATGCAAGAGGAGATTCAGTATTTCTTTATTGGAATCTCCTTTCACGAGTAGAAACAGGTTTTCCATCATCTTCCATACCCATACGAACTCGTCCACTGCTCAGAGGTGCTGTTGTAGGAGAAATAAAAAATCAACTAGGGAAAAAGAAATGCACTGCCAACACACTGAAGACTCGTGCGATGGGGGGTTTTTTGTTTGTTTCCTCACAAGATCTTTTTCAAATATCAAAGGGGGAACTGCCTTTTCATCTCATCTTCTCTCCCTACTGCTCCCCATCCAGTAAATCTTAAGACTGCTCATCACATGTGGGATTTGGATGTGTCTTGCATGTTGTGGGAATGAGCAGGGGAACTTGGGAATCTTGGGGTGATTTCAGTATTTTAGAATCCCATAGGGAGTTCATGCAATCATTTTGGCAAGCTACTGGTTTGAAAAATGCATGTAAGATATGATAAAGTATTATATTTTCATCTCTATATGGTAAAGTACGTGGTCATTGCAGGGAGAATGTAATCTGTGTTAGTAAGAAGAAATCGTAAGCAAAAAAAATAGGTTTATTTAATCCTATGTTGTCAATTCATTTCAGCCCCTTTAAATCAAAATTTTCTTACCATCCTTAGGGTTCACTCCTGACATCCTGTAGAAAAGAAGAAATGTTTGATTAATGATGATCACTGACCCTGCCCACTGAAACCATTGATCCGTTTAGGAACCACCACCTGTGAATAGCCATGATTTCACACTGCTGCTTTCAGTAGGTTGTTTCTCAGGTGTGTTGTTACTAGTGTTATTGTTACGGTGCTTTCTGCTTTGAAGGCCACTCCTATATACTCAAGAGGAAATATGCACAGCAGCCAGACCAGTTCTTGGTCCTGATACGTCTCTATATACTTTTCCTTTTCTCAAAATGTCATATTCTAGAAACAATGGAGCTGATTCCTCCTGATAAGTAAAAAGTAGTTCCATGTATAGATCAGATAGGAGAAATGGGCACTAAAATGTAGATTTTACTAAAGCACGCTGTGGTCTATACCAAGTTCTTTTCTAGTTGAGAATATTAGTCTATGTTGTTGAATATTTTCACCTCTCTGCACAAGTGTAGAAAACCAGGAGCTAAAGAAATACAGGTTTTTAGAGGTTATTTCAGGCTGAAGGCCATTGGTTCACTGCAGCAAGAGGATTACGTAAGACATACATATGGTGCCTGGTACCTGCTATAACTCATTGTAGTCAAAACGATTGCATTTATATTTTCAAATCAGCAGCACAACTGATCTGGAGATTTAGCCTGAGTTATCGTAACACCTGGGATTTTGCCGGGTGTCTGTTTTGCTGGTACTCAAAAGGCTGCGTATGCAGTGAATGTAATTTAGTAATCTGGAGTCGGCTTAGCAACCACAAATTACTGCTTTACAATATGTCATGTTATTAATCTTATCTAATCATCATAGCGTTTGTATACAGTAACTTACTGAGAGTCCTGGCCCTCCAGCAACTGGCGGTACGTGGCGATTTCCTCCTCCAGGCGACTTTTGATGTCCATGAGCATTCTGTACTCCTGGTTCTGATGCTCCATGTCGCCTCGAAGTTCACTCAATTGCTCTTCAACATTGGTGATGAGGGCCTGAATCTGTGCCAGCTGTGCGTGGTATCGTCCTTCTGTATCTCGCAGGTTGGCTTCCAGTCCAGCTTTCTAAAGCAGAGTAACATCAGAATAGGTTAGCGTGCTGATTTATCCCACAGAGGGGGAGTCCAAGGCAAGACAGAGAGGGAGGAAGAGGAGAGTGTACTAATAGTGACTTGTGGCGAACTTGGGACAGCTTCATACCATGCTGAGCTGCGACTGGAGCTCAATCTCCAGGCCCTGGACCGTGCGTCTCAGTTCCGTGATCTCCGATTTGCTGGTCTGTATCTGTTGTGTGTGGGTGGCTACTTCGCGGTTCAGCTCATCAGTCTGAAAAAAAAAAAAGTAAAATCACATGCATATTGTATAACAAAATTTTAAATGATTTTGAGAAAGGGAGGGCTCATCCCATCTGCTGGGGCAGTAATAATGAGGCAATGTATCAGTTTGCTGTTTATTGGGGTAACTATACCTGAGTGAAGAACCAGGCCTCAGCATCTTTACGGTTCTTCTCAGCCAGAGCTTCATACTGTTCTCTCATCTCAGAGAGAATTCTGGTGAGGTCGATGCCAGGAGCCGCATCCATTTCCACGTTGACTGTTCCACTTAGCTGATTTGAATACTCTTTCATTTCCTGCATGGACAGAAGGCAGAGGGCACAAATAAGATGAGGCTCTCTTTTCTCATATACTTTCTGCCATCCACAGTCCATGCAGTGGTATGCAGTGCTTTAATTATCCAGTATCATAGGTGGAACACACATAAAAATGTTTATCAAATTTTATCTCTCATTGCACATGCTTTTCTACTCTGTGTACTCACACACACATATATTTACATGTAACTTATATGTAAGTTTCTTTTACTCAGCTTAACTATCTCAGTGACCTGTCGTGTCAAACAATGTCAAACTGAAACTAATGGGTTGATACAGTTTGGAATCAGAGAAATGCTTCTCAGGACACACTTTGGATCCTTTTAATATTACAGTTTTCTTCTTATTAAGCTGTAATGTTGTCATTCTGGTTTTTTATTTGTTTGGATTTCCCCCTCCCACCCAAGAGGCGTACATTTCAAAGGGAAGTAATTTCCTCTCTGCACTACTATGGACTCTCACCTCCTCATGATTCTTCTTTAGATAAGCCAGCTCCTCCTTCAGTGTTTCAATCTGCATCTCCAGGTCAGCTCTAGACAGAGTCAGCTCATCCAGGACTCTGCGCAGGCCGTTAATGTCGGACTCTACGCTCTGGCGCAGGAATAATTCATTCTCATATCTGCAGTTTAAAAAAGAAACAAGCACTGGAATATGTACAAGTTTGTATTCAGTAGAGCTGTAAATCTGTGAAATTTTGTATTGAATATAGGAGGAACAGTGGGCTATCAATGAAAACATATACTAAAAAGAAGTGTAAAGGGAGTAAAGATGTTTTTTTCCAACATCCTACTATGACATATGAAAGTATATGTACCACCATCTGATTTTATTCTTGAGGAGTACAAGACATTTCACTTTGCAGAACCTGGTAATGATTATCAGCATCAATAGAAAAGTTGTCACACACTGTCCATTTGCAGTGTCCTCTCAAATTTGATGTGAAGAAAAGCACAGATTGCCCAGTTCTGCCTAGGACTCTAGAGGAGAAAATATAAGCTTGCAGGTACATCACTGCAGGATAAATCATTTGTGCAAGTATCTTCGTCATCTTTTCAGCAGTGCCTGATATACTGCTGAGTCCATGAGCTGGATAAGCCCAAAATTACTCTTTGTCTTTCTTTTCTAAAATTCAGACTCTGTGAGAGAGAACTGCTGCAACTGAACACCGATCTCTACATGCCAGTCTGTTCCTTTTAAGTGAAAATCCCAGCCTATTCCTGTCTTCTTTTCCCCTGTGATACAGACTAGTAAAAATAGTCAAGAGCATCAGTAAAAAACTAAGATATGATCTATAATTTGTTACGTAAACAGCTCAGTGATTGGATCCTGTGTTCTATTAGGTTTGTATTCCAAACAGATCCGTCATCACATCAATTCTGTTTGCATGGTTTTTTTTTATCAGAAATTATCAAGGAAAAATACCTGTCCATAATGCTGAAATGTGTCCTTCAGTGACTGAAGAACTTTATTTTCTAGACAAAAAGTAATACTAAACTTAGAAAACTGTTTTGAGAGAGACAAGGAGAGAAGACAAATGTGCTCCAGGTAAACTTACTTCAGTCTGAAGTCATCTGCAGCCAGCCTGGCATTGTCAATCTCCAAAATGACCCTGGAATTGTCAATAGTAGCTGCAAGGATCTGGCAATGAAGAAACACAGAAAAAGATTCCGGTGAATAGTGGTGAAATGCCGTGGTCCTGAGTCCATAGTAGGTAGTTATTGAGGCTGTAAACCATCAGAGAAGGTAGGAAAAGCTGGACCTCTATTGTGATGTCACCCGTTAAAGATGCCTTTTGGATTGCAATAGCCATTTCAATTTATTGTGTTGCTCTTTGGTCATGCTGTAATTCTTACAGCTTTTGCAGAGAAAAATGAAAAATGCTAAGCTCTTTTCGACATTCCATATGCAAATCAGAGAGCTGAGATACCTTTGTGTATCACAAATTAGAAACATAATTAGAAAATACGTTGTTTGTACAACACCTGATCTTATCTGTAGCTAGGAGAATTATTTTTTCAGCCTTTGAGGCCTATCTGTCACATTCTTTGCTATTTGATTACTGAATAAATATATCTATAATTCTAAACACATTGCCATGTTTTGCTAATGTTTAGTGCAATCACTTTTATTTCAACAAACTTCACATTTTCAGGGTAACATATTTGGTTTTTAAACTGAGAAAAAGCTACTCTTTTCTGCCAGAATGCTCATAACCACAAGATACTTGGGGTTGGGGAATTCAATATTTGTTTTGTAATTATTTTAGCTTATTTTAAAGAAGTGGGATATGCAGTTCCACAAGCCTAATGCATTCTTATAAGTCCTCCACATGTGAATGTCCTACCTTGTCTCGGAGATCTTCAATTATCTTGTAATAATTACTGTAGTCCCGGGCTGGGCTGGTGGGAGCTTGTTTCTGATACCAGTCTCGGATTTTAACTTCTAAGTCTGAATTTGCCTCTTCCAGTGCTCGTACCTTGTCCAGGTACGAAGCCAGACGATCATTCAGATTCTGCATAGTTATCTTCTCATTTCCAGAGAGAAGGCCATCGCCACCACCAAAGCCACCACCAACTTCAAAACCTCCACCAAAGCCAGCTCCTCTACCAAAGCCACAGGCTGCACCACTGCCAAAGCCACTGTAGCCTCCTCCATAACCACTACCAAAACCAAAAGACAAGCCACCACCATATCCACCTCCTAAAGAGGAGACATACCTAGCTGAAGAGATGGAGACACCCCTGCCACCAGATCCTCCATGTATGCTTGGAGCTCGGCAGGTTCCTCCTGTTCGGACTGAGGAAAGGCGAGAGCTGCTGCTTCCACCACCCCCAAAGCCACCCCCATAGGTAGAAGAAGAGCTCTGCATGAAGGAAGTAGCCATAGCTGCAGCACAAGAAGGGGCTACGGTCAGTTATTCAGCTCGGTGAAGAAGAAAGATGTGCCTTCACTGCCCTGGTGCTTCTTTTATATCCTCAAGACAGGGTGTTAGGAGACAAACCCAACCTGCAACCCTCCCTCCAAAATTTCTCCTCCCTAGAGATGAGGCCAATTATGATGACATTCCTCACAAAGAGAGCTGGCTGTACATCTCAGGGGCTAGGGCTTGGGTTTTCTTTTTTAATTAAACAAAAGGGATGACTCAGATAAGTGGTTTTTCTTCAGGCTATAGTTCTGAAACTTGGAGTTTACTTCTCTGACATTTAAGAATGGAAAAACAAAGTGAATTCAACCACACCTACTTACTCATTTACAGCGATCACCATGGTTATTTTAAGAACATCAACTTTTTCTAAAAATGAAGTTTAAGTAAAATTCTCCATTCACTGAAAAATGTACATTCATCAGTTCGTCTCACCATTATTTCTTTTTTTCTATCCATATCTTTTCCCATAAAAAATTTGGAATTGCATTTGATATGTTTGTATTCATGTTCTTTGCTTGGAATTAATATTTAGATTTTGGAGTCTGATTTTTTAGTACAAAAAGCATATCATCATAGCATTGCATGAGGAGCAGTTAGCATCCATCAATGTACAAGGAAGAATGGGCATAGTTAACTTGCTAATCTTGTGAAATAGTCAAGAAGGGTAATACCAGATTGAAAGAATTCAGTTAAAAGAAGAAATGTGGGAGGACTAAGCTCTTGTTACTTTTGGGAAACATAAACAAATTGACTTTAAGATGAAACTGTTCAGATTGCAATTAATGTATTCAATGTCAGTATGAACTATGAAATGAAGTAATTCTTGAAAATAAGATTTGAGAAGCACTTAGAGGAGTCATCCTAATCCTTCATTTAAAATGGGAGTCTGAAACACCAGTAAATCTAATTGCAAATCTGATAATTTCCTAGTGAAATTCAAAGAATTCAGTAAAACAGCTTTGTTCAATACTGCATAATTATGGGAAAACAGGTTTGAGAGATTTTTAAGGAAGTATTAACTGCTTATTTATCCTGCTGGGAAGTGTCACTGGGGATAATGTATGTGTGGAGAGTGTGGCAACAGTGTGGAGATTAAAGAGCGAGCCCCATTCTCTTTGCACAACAAGCTGGCATTCTTCAGATGAAAGCCACAAGTTGCAGTGGAAGAAGCAGGGGTATGGCAAGACAATAAATTGGTACTGAGGGGCACAACGGTTTAAGGAAACTGAGGGTTGAGAGGAGGGAGAATAGCAGGGATGAAGTGAAGATGGGAGGAACTTTCTCTGGTCTCTAGTTAGGAGCCACCAAAATTGTTTGAAATAAAAGTTTGAAATAAAGAAGAAAAAGGACATAACAAAATAATGAGGAGAGTGTTGTTTTTAGCACAGTTTTTGACAGTACGTATCAACAGAAAATGAGCTTAGAATTCCGGATGGGTGATTTCAGGTAAACTGAGGCTCGTACCAGTTGTTGGAACAAACTGAGGGGTTTTCTGAAATTTCCCGTTGAGTCTTTAATGCAGCCCCCGGGAACGCCCAGCCTTTTACTGGGAAAGATCTGTACTTGGGGGGAAAGAAATGTCAAAGATCTAGCTGTGACACGCAGCTTAACAGCCTGGTTCTGAGAATGTCCACTCATTCTTCACCTGGTTAGAAAAGACGGCGTGTTTCACAGTTGTGGAAACATGTTTCAGACTGAACCTGGACCTTTGCCACAGCAGTTCAGTTTTGCTGCTGGGCAGATTAATGGTTCTGCGTAGCTTGCCAAATCGTTGTATCTCAAAGAGTTACTATCTCGGGGAACAAGTTTAGACAAACTCTCCTAAAGATAAAAAAGTTTCTTTAAGACCCCTGTAATGTAAATATCTTGAGGTGTGCGTGCTGCTAGGGTCTGTTTAACTCTGAGTGACCCCACAATAAGCAAGATCAAATTCCATTTAAAAAATAAATCCAGCAAAATCACTTCTAGAAAACACCATAATCTTTAACAGGAAACTTTGGGGATTTTTCATTCAGTCTTTATAACTTCTTTGGAAGCTTGCTGGTGAAATACACTTACTGTTTTTTAAAGTGTCCTGTGCGTTATTCTAGGTTGTTATCAGATAAGCACATATTAAAAACAGGTAGGAGATATAAAGATGTTTCTTTCCTGTAGAATATTTACCATTGGGAAAAATAAACATAAATCGAGCAGCCAATAAAAATGATGTCCTAATAACATAATTCAGAACACCATAGTGGTGGAGATTCTGTGGCTTCAGAGTGTGTCCCCCATGACCGAAAGCTTGTAAATGCAGAGTGCAGCATTTGCAGACCTGAGGCTTGTCCCTGCCTTCATCATCTGCGCTATTCATTCTTTCATATTAGACTACTACTTCTAAATAGTTCCAAACATTTTACTAGAAATTGTCAGTAGTATTTCAAACCAAAGGAGAAGCGAAGGAAAGGTGCCTCAACGAAGCACTGTGAAGTCTGGAGGTGGTCAGTTAGGGGTCATTTATTTGCAGCTTGTGTCAGTTGCTGTGCTTCACAGGTATTTTCCTAAAGAGAAATCAAATTCACTTTTGAGAGCTTACTCATGAACATTGCCTCTTCTGGTGAGAGAGAAATGGTAAATCTGTCTGTACCTCTACGCTGAGAGCAGACTGCTGGCAAATGCTTATGTGTATTCAGAATTCGCTCACTCACGGTCTTTAGGTATATAGATTTTGTTGGTTTATTACTGTCTTCAGGTTGAAGACTTGTATATAAAAACCTACATGCATTGTAGCATTTTATAATAGACTGTGTAAGGAAAAGCTTGCTTTGGTCAAAAATTAGATATGATTTGGTATTTACATTAGTAAAAGTTTAGAAATCAAAAGTGTCTTGATGAATCTAATTTAATATCTGATTTTGAACAACTATGTGAAAATCATCTGTCTTTAGTTGAGTTCTGCATCTAGGTATAATTCTACATACAGTCATATTCTTCTTGACAATTATTATTTCTGCATTTTAGGTAGTTCTATCTATCATTTTGTAAAAAGATCAGTTACATTTCTCTAAAGTCATGAGGTTTGGAATGCTTCCTGATTCATAACCTCTTAGAACTTTAAAGGAACATCTCAAATTGGTGCTACCTCTGTACTGGTAGAGATCTGTGTTGCTCTCTGCATTTGTCACTTAGCTCTTTTCTGCAGCTGGAACGTGAACTTCAATCCAAAAAACTTTCTCCTTATAGTGTATACAAGGAAATTGAAGCCGATCACCTTCTGAAGTAAAAAAAAAAAAGAGCTATTTCAAGCTTATGCCTTTATTCTGTTCTCACTAGCTTCACTCTAAGTTTTCTTATCCAGTGTCTTGACACACAGTTTCATGCTTTGGACAGTACCCGGCATTGTACTTGTGGTGCATAAACTCCGTGGTTTGTAATGCTTCCACAGAGGAAGGATGTTCCCTGACATGTCTATGCTGTGCAAACTCTTTTATTACCTCTGTTCCGGGCTTAACGGAGCTGACACACTTTAGCCTCTCCTTTTAGGAGGACAGAGAGTTCCATTCAAGAAGCAGCTTGTTTATCATCTCGGTCTTTGCTGACAAAACCATCACTCAGACATGCCATACCTTTAGAAAACAATTTTTACTGAAACAAACTCTAAAATTATAGTCTCTGAGTGATTTTTTGTTAAATATTTCACCAGAAATCCTTCATTACCCTACAAATATGGGGCAAAATAAATAAAATTATAAACTAAAATTCAAATTAGGCTATGAAAACAAGAATTCAAGCCTTTTCAAGATTCTTTCCAGTCCGAAGACCCCAACTTCTTTAGCAGAGCTTATTAATTCATTCAATTTTTGGCACTTTTAACCTCTTATACACTTTTAAACTCTTAAACACTTTTAAACTGTTAACCTTTTAAACATCTTTTTTTCTAAACATGCATTTAATTCAGTCTTTGAAAATAAAACCTTCTGGTCAAAATACACATCTGCAAAGTGCCCTTATAATAGACTTTGCATTCTTGGAGCATGAGAATTTCTTGTTAGACTTTCACATTTGCAGCTATACAACACAAGAAATCTGCACCAGTAATCTCATACTCTGACTGGTTTTGTGACAAGAACTTGCTCTCAGAGAATGGGATTTGTTCAGCTTAAAAAACAGACCTGGAGTTTTTTGTTCTTTCATCTGGAAGGGATTCCAAGCCTAACTGTTGTAGGGAATAAATTTGGTACCAAGCATTTATTAAACAGCCTGTACTGAAGCATTTAACGCACAAGAGCTTTCTTCTCCTTGCTCTTCCAAGAGCGGACACTGTATAACTGGGGGAGCTTCTGAAGAGCCACTTACATCTCATGTACACCAGTGCTTTTCATGCCACTGCTCCCTTTCGATTCTGAACTTGTTTCCACCAGAGCCCCTTAGTCCTCCTGTTCTTAGTCCCCTCTTCTCTAGATCTCTTTGCTGATTCTTACTTTTCGTGACTGTTTTTCTTTCCTGTCGTAGTTTTTCCCTGTCGTAGTGAAGCCACTGCCTAATGCTGTCATGCTAGATTTCCAGGGGCAAAGCTGGGATTGTCTGTCAGTACTTGACAACTGATTAACCAAAACCAAGGACCAGTGCCTCTTGCTTGGAGAGGATTGCCCAACCTTGATAGAGGAGGTCCATAGCTTTGGGATACTCCTTGCTATGCAAACACTCCGTTAATCTGTAAACTAGTTATGAGCAAGGGTGAAATAATTGTTCCCTCCCAAGTCCAAGGAGAGAAGTACTGATGGATTTGATGATGTCTCCCTGAAACACAGACTGCAGGATAATCCTCTCTGTGGGAGTGCAGTACTGGGATACTTTAGTCTGGGCATACTGTCATTTCAAGTTCACCCTCAGTTGAAATGTGCCTTTTGTAATGGCGGGAGGTGGGAATGTAATAGGCTATAGCCATGATTTTCTTCTAACACAAACCCTGACAAGTT